TGTTTTGAAATGAACACAGATTCATTCTGAGCTACTGTAATAACACCGGGCCAAGGGAGATGGTGTTGGGCAAGTGAAGTAGTAGTGGCAGCGGTCTAAATTTAGTCGCCCTCTGCTTGTGAACTAAATACCAATGACAACAGACAAACTGACACCCACCCACCCACCCACTCATTCAGTCACTCACAGGCTGCAGCCCCCACTTGCTGCCCTCCCCAACACAAGCCTCAGTAACGGGGAGCGTGAGCGCCCACACGGGTCACACTACCCGGTCTGACCTCACCTTTCTTTCCCCGAGGAGACAGGCACAACTTGAGACAACCCCCTGAGGGTCCTTCAGGACAGGTAAGCCATCGCTTGGGCTTCTCCACAGGTGTACTGTCCATGTCTAACATGACACTTGCACTTTTAATCAAGCATGACTCTCTCTGCCACCTACACTCAGTCCCTCTGTATTTTACTGTTGGTGTGATAGCTTGCTTTTATATTTATTTTTTTATTTTTTTAATGAACACATACATGAAAATGTATGTCTTTTTTCTGTATTAATTTAATTGTATATATGGGATATGTCCTGATTTATTTAAAGCGAATGTACCTCAAATGCAAAGCTATAAATAGCATATATATATCTACACAACAGCGTATTGGAGGTAAAGCATTTTGCAACCTTGTCTGTTATCAACTGATTTCTAAGTGATGGTAATTTGAAGACTTGCTGTGAAATGCTCGTTGGTTCTTTGAGAAATTGTTCTTTGCTTTGTGAAAAGCATTTTGGATTCTAATAAAACACTCGTGTTCTCCGACACCTCGGTGTAAACTTTCCGATTTGCTCTCTAATCTGCTGTCTCACATGTTCGATGTGACAACACCATGCTCTGCATCCCTGTCCTTTCAGCCCACTTGGGTAATTTCAAACATATCGATTCCGAGACGCCCCTGGCACTGCTGGTTGCCATATCTGCAGAGCACGTGCTTGGCGTTTAACAGCCCAAGGTTATTTAAAGGGAAGTGCTAACTTTGCCCTTTTCACTGCCTTGATAAATTCTATCTGCTTCGGTGGGATTTTGTGCGTGTTGTGGGTGTTTGATGACTAACATGCAGCTGCCTTGCTTTTGTCTTTGATTGTACATTTGAACAGATTGTACTGATGTGCACTGTCTCCTGTGACTTTTTGCCTCACCCCAATCTCCCCAATGGCAGCCATGTCACAGTTCTCCACCATGACAACCAGAGAGAGGAAAATGCAGGCAGCAGCAATCTGCAGGGAGGTTCAAGCCCAAGAAGGTAGCTGTATCGTTTCCTCTTCACTTGCATGTTTCCCTGATCCCTCTGACCTCCCACATTCTGTTCTTGCCTTCTTCATTAAACATGTAAACAAAGACAAGGAGTTAACAACACCATAAGTTACAGTACAGATCTGTTAGCCTTACTGTCAAATTCTCCAAAATTTACTTTATAAAAGGCATGAGCCCATCATTTTCTAGCAAAACAGTTGCCAACCTTCCCCTCTATGATCCTATAAATAAGCAAATGACTACTTTTATGGCTCATAGTAACTAATCCTTTGTCGTTCTCCTTTGAACACGCTATTTCAGGGCGTGGACAACTGTGCGCCTTGGGGATGGGGAGGGTCTGAAGGCTACTGACAGCTGAAAGATATTCTGGCAAATTATGTGTCTCACGCTTGAATATAGGCCGATGACATCTCCATGATCAGCATGCAGTAGCTAGCATGCGGAGCAAACCATAAAACAAGCACTGAACATGAGCTGATTACGAGGGAAGATAATTCCTCGTTCATCATACTGGCAGGAATGCTAAGTCAGCAGCCATGTACAGGATTTTTTCTTTTGTGCAGGGAGGTTTTTTTTTTTCCTGTTTGGATTTAATTTGATTCAGCATAGGTGGGAGTATAGGAATCGTGAAAATACATTTGTCTTGTCAGAAGTCTGATTCAAGCACTGAATAAACACAAGTTGTTTAGTCTCTTGTTTTGTTTCCTTCTGTTCAGATATAGAAATGGATCTGGGAAAGAAGATGAGTGTGCCTAAGGACATAATGCTGGAGGAGCTGTCTTTCGCCTCCAACCGGGGCTCCCGTCTCTTCAAAATGCGTCAGAGACGATCAGAAAAATACACTTTTGAGAGCATCCAGAACCAAAACAACACACAGCTGAATGTAAGAAGAACTGTGGTCTAAATTATTATCTTAAAGAAATCTTTAGATATTGGGGGAAAAAAAACTTCTTTTTCAACAATAGGTCCCAAAATCGAGTCCTTATTCATGTTTGCGTAGGAACTACAGTTAAAGCTGCAGGCAGTAGCAGGCTACCTTATCAGGAAGATTTGCTAGCCAGTTACCTTGACTCTCTCAAAAGATAAAAACGAATTAAATCAAACAAACTGACTAACCAGACGAACCAATCACCCTAATCTAACCAACTAAGCTAATCAACCCAACGCAACACAAACAAACAATCAATCAACCCAACTAACCCAAACACCAACCAAACTAATCAAATTAACCAACACAACCAACCCAACAATCAACCCCCCCAAAAAATCTGTCCTCTACAACTTTATAATCCACATTTCATATCTTCTTTGTTTGAACTGTACCAGTTTAAGATCACTGCAACATAACAGCATGTAAATCCCATACGTAGCTGTTAACGGATACTTTAAAGCATTAATGTGGCCACTGTAGCTCACATTAAACAATAATGTGAGTCAAATATTTTAATTAAAAGGCCCCAGAAAGGATAAAGATCACAAACACACTGTTGAGGTCCAGTTCAGCCACTAAGATGAAGTCTAAAGATGGCTACCAGCCTGGTGCTGACCAGTTACTGCTTTTAATCATGCAGAACTTAAACTTTTGATACAAACCCAAGCTGTCTTTTGTAATAGGTTGGAGACACGTTCATCTCTGATCTAAAGCTGAGCATTTACATACTGGATTCTAAGGGGATTCAGTCACTTGTGGAGGCAGTTCTTGGCATCTCTATCGGTCAATTCTTTAGCACCCAAGGTTGCAATCTTTAAATCTTTTAACCACCTAACTCCTGATAAGACAGCAAATAAGCAGATAATCTCATTAAACTGCACAACTAATCATTGAAATGCACATAAATTTATGATCATTTGTAGGGATAAAGATTAAGAGGGTACCGTAAGAATTCCACATTGCTAGCGTGCATATTTTTCATGCCCGATTATCCCTTTCCTAATTCATCTTCTTTCACCAAAACATGAAAAACATTCCACCTTACATCCTGACAAAGTATAAGCACTTCGAGTGTTTATATTGCTTGTGCCACAAACACAGGGCAGTGTATCTGTAGCACAAGTCGTGCAGTTGGTCATAAGTGGTTTTATTAATGTTCCTTTGTGTATGGATGGGCAACGCGCCAAGTTAGCATTTTCTTCTCTCAGCGGTACCGTTCGCTGATCTGGTCACACAAAGAAGTTCATGTCTCACAGCGCACAGCAAAATCAAGTAAAGCCAGGTTTCTCTCTGTTATATCTAATTAATTAGGATCCCTAGTTATGTCCTCTTTAATTTAGTTGTGTGGTTCCCTTGTGTACTTTTCAATGCCCCCCTTAAGTCCACAGATAAAATAACTATTATGCTCAAGAGAAGTTTTTCCCCTCATCTTTGATGTATGAAGGACTTAGATATCTCGGCTTGTTTATTGCTCTGGGCAATAGAAGGATTTTGTTTCAAGTTGTCAACATTTCCTGAGGAAATCCTCAAGTAAATCATCATAAATATCTTTCAGAGGGGATGAAAAGCCGGGTGCTGAGGCTGCAGTACATTTCATCTCAGTCCAGAGAATAGTATTTCGAATGTAGAGGGCAAATGGACAGACAACTGGACAAACAGATAGCTCCTTTGTTTAAGGAAAACATGGAAAATTGAAGATCTATTATGTGCTTATCATGTGATATCGCTGCAATGAAGATACAACTGATTTACTGTTTAGATTTATGACTTCTAAACTGAGGAAACTTTGATATGCATGTCATGGTTATCCATTTTTATGTCATATTAACCTTAAAGATGGCAAAATGTTTGCTGCTTGTTTCTCCTGTTACCAAGTAACCAAACAAATGCTGTCGAAAATGTTCCAAAAATCGTGTGAAACGTTGATATGAATTGTCAGGAATCAACTGATTGATAAATGGTTTCAAACCTTTTTTGTGGGCCCGAATGACCTCTTTGATCTTTCTTGTAGAGCATTGCCATCTTCCAAACTGAGACTGGGAATACCACTGACAGCCACAGCGGCCAGAACAACGTAGGTGTTGACCAGCCACCGAAAGTGACATGTGACACAACAACTATGGAAATGGTGCCAGATCCCACCAGCATTGCTCCGGGTAGGTAAAGCTGTGTGATACAGTGCACTGAAAAAACTTTCCAAGGACTCAAAATCATACAGCAGTGATATACTACTGACTTATATTCAGCTGTTCCTATCCATTTAACCTGTTTGCGTTAATTGTGTTGTACTAAACTTTGGTCTTTTTGCTGTATGATGATGAATGCTAAGTACAGCTCCCAGCAGAGTGACTGCGCACATGTGCTCTGCACAAAGTACTAGATGTGCCGTGTTTTGATATGGATTCAACTGTTTCTCGTTGTTTGTACTCAAGCAGGCTTTGATCGTGCAGGAAAACAATTTTCTTCTTTGCCTGGAATCTGCTGGCCTCAGGCTAAATATGATTACACATTTCTGTTCTCCCTCTCTGAGCCTGACTCCTTTATTTATTTTTATATATTCATCCTACTCCCTTCTCTCATGTCTACTCCTTTTATTCAACCGTCCTTATTGCAATCAGCTCTTACCATCATTCTAAAATTCGTTGAGTTTTACTCACGGAAACCGTTTCCTGTTTGGCTCTTGTGCTGCTGATACCATCAGCTGTGCACTCACATCCTCCCTCATGTCCTAATTTTGCTCAGCTGACACAAAACCATGATTTAAGGATGACCGTGTTGACACTAGGGTGGGGTGCTATTTGTGGACCAGACACAGACCCCAGAGTATGTGAATGAAGTCAGTCCAACTGTAGCAGAAATCCAGCCAAAGTGCATCAGGTATCAAATGGGAATTATGTTTAAAATAGCCCACTCATCCACTTACTGTAGGAGTGCATGCCAGGCAATAGTCATATACAGTAAGCCCATTTCAACAGTTAAACACCGGAAACTTCACAAAAAGTTATTTTTGTGCCATTTTTCAACAATGGAAAAAGGAATAAGCAAACGTGCCTTTAGTTATCAGGCCACTTGGACACTAATTAAGACAACTGCTGTTTTTTTTTTCACATTTCCTTTTTGGTTTAGTTCCTTCTTTTATCCCTGCATGAAACTGAGGTGTAATCATCCTTTCCCACAAAAGTATCAGCTTAGCCAAACGTCCAACCACAGGAATAATATCCCATGGCCTCAGAAACATTTTTACACAGTGTTTTGTCATAGATTATTCCCCCCCTACCAAAAAAATCTGTAAACTTCCCCACAGGTCTGTTTGGTTTCTCCTGCTTCCTCCTCAGGGCAAAACATAAACTCAGGAAGGGGGAATTGTTCATTGTGAGGGGTTAGGACGTGACACAGCGGCCCGTGTTATGTAACGCCAAGCTTGCAAGCCCCCCTGAGTGAAGCGCTGGGTTTGAAGGATAGTACTTTCGATTGGACTCTCCCATCAACACACACAGTGTATGTGGGGAGACATACATGCAGGCATGCATCCACACACCCACACGCACAAACACGGGGAAGCTGTGCCTTTATTCTGTTTGGCTGTGAACTTTAATGAGGAAAAAAAGGAGCTAAAGAAGAAAGACAGGACACTTAGACTGCTGTTAAATTAGGTACACATTTGTAACAAAATACAGATGAAGATATTTTTTTTAAAATGTCACTTTCCTTTAGTCTGAAATGACCTGATCTCTTTGTTCTTTTGTATTTACATGCAGTCAAACTAAAAGACAAACCAAAATCAGTTAAAAGTTTAACAGTTACAGACGGTGGAAAGGGGAAATGTTTTTTCACTTCTGAACTCAAGTTTTCTTCAGATCTGCGATGAAAGTGAAGGATCTGCTTTCTTTGGACAGTACGTTCGCTGGTGGCTGTTGAAGAAAGTCTTTTGAACTGACTCTCACTAAGTTCTGGTTTGCGAACCGTGTGGAAAAAGCCAACGCCTGGTCTTTATTTGACATAGAAAAACAGAAAAGCCCCACATGCCTTCACTGCCAGTGTTGTATAATTTATCCAGGGTATGGAGGTCCTTTGAAAGACATCCCTCCGGAGAAGTTCAACAGTACAGCTGTGCCAAAATCCTACCACTCACCCTGGGAGCAGGCCATCATCAATGACCCTGCCTTGGCTGACACTCTCATCACCCGCATGCCAGAGCTGGCACCTCAACAAGACCTGCCAGGGTACAAAAGCTTCAACAGGTAATTCCCAAATAGGTCAGATGTGTCAAATATAAGGCCCGAGGGCCAGAATCATCCTTTCAAATGTAAAAGAGGGCATATATTTTGGAGTTTTAAATGACGTTTTACAGATTTTCCTACTGATAAAGGCCTCACCCATGGCCATTCATACTAGATCAAAATAATCATGTAAAAGATAGCCCTGAGATTAAATGCACAGTTAAACTTCTTTGCACGAACTTGAATCAAAGCAGACCTTATGTGGCCCACGATGTAAAATAAGTCTGACATCCCTGAAACAGGTGAACAAATGGAAACACAAATGGAAATTAGGAGTTAAAAGTGAAGTTATAACAATAAAACATTTAAATATATAACTGTTGAGGGTGTGTTTTACTATTTATGAATGTAAATCGCATCCATTCAAAAGTCTAACTCTCTCTGAATTATACATTCTTGCTTTAATATAGCATGAATGCAAGTGGTGAGTGAGCAAAGAAAATACTGTCCTTCACCTCATTCGTTGCACAGTGTTTCTCACACTCAGCAACTGTATCTTAGAAATGTCCCCGGGTCAATGTCTTTGCTTGGCTTTAATTAATTGCATCACTTCAAATGTCACTTCAAGTTTCTCTCATTAGCACATGTTGTCTGCTGTTAACACCGTGGCTTTGTCATCTCCAGGGTGGCAACCCCTTTCGGTGGTTTCAGCAAAGCACCCAGGCCTCCTCCTGTCAAGACCCTTCAGGTAGAAATCCTCCCAGAGCTCCCGGAGCTCCAAGGGGACACCCCGGTAATTCGACCCTCCTTCAACAGAGCTGCTCTGGGGTGGGTGTCTACGGGTGGTCCAGTCCCCCTCCCTAATGTTTCTGTCGAGAATGCGCTCATCCCTGAGTCAGAAGACCTTTGAGCCCGTGTTGAAGTCACACAGAGATGCTGTCTACTTAGTTGCTTAACCTGAGGTTGTTGTTTGTGGAGTGATGCTGGAGTCAGAACAGAGCATCCTGTTGGGTGTTGCTGGTTCAAGTTAGCGTGTATGTAGCACCCTTTGGTCTTTCCACTGATGTTAACTGTTGCACTGCAGGGAATAATTTAAAAAAAATCACTGTGTACATTAGACAGACACACTACTGAAAACTGTTGTATATTGATTTTCATAAACAGATTTTATCTCACATTTTTGCTCAATAAAGTGGCGTACAATGATCAAAAATCCAATCAGAATTTTTGATTTTCCTTTTAATTGGTTTCAAAAGAATTGTAAGTTTCTGTCAAAGGGAAAAACTTGCACATTTCTGTTTTGGGAAAGGGAACAGAATGCAATATGAATGTGTGCGATACGGGTTGGTATGAGCTAGCTCCAGTGAAGGACGGTGCATTTTTGTGCCATAGTCCTATGCAAATTTCTCAGTTATCATAGTGTGTGAGAGGCCAGAGATCCATGTGAGCCAGTGTAACGTGCCTCAAGGTTACACTGCCTGACAAATCAAATCTGCTTCAGCGATATGAGCGACTTGACTGATGTGTCTCTCACCTTTTGGCTATGCCAAGCAGAAGAAAGATTGACGTTTGATAAGCTGTGGCCGCTGTCTTTCTGTTTACTACCACAACAGCCTATTTTGGAAGGCACCCCAGCTACAACAAGCTTAAGCAGCCAGATTTATTCCCGATACCATACATGTTACATTTGGGGCGAATAGATATTGTGCAGTTATCTTATGGTTATTCAGAGAGAAAAATTAATAAAATAAAATAGAAATTAAAGAAATTATTGGAATTTTGTTCATGTATACTCAAGCACCATCTCTTCATACAATGTTTTTTTGCTTAAAGCAGTTAGTATAGTAGCATACTGTCAGGCTAACTTTTAGCTAGCATGCTAACTTTGTACTAAGTGTTTCTATTAATCTGTTTAAAATTATATCTTTCGGCACTTTGTCACTAGTAGCATGTGACAAAAACAAACAGCTGATTCCCATTTCTTTAGTTGAATCTATTTAAGAAATGATACTTTGACTGACAGTTTGGCAGGCACAAAATACTTTTTTCACCAACAATGTGATTCCTGATGAGCTATTGACCAAAATCCTGAGATAGCTGTCAATGGTGTGCAGTGTGTCCTTAAAAAATTTGAGGAAAATTGATGGAAGACAAAAGAACTATTGGCAGAACTGAAAGGCTATCTACTGAAGATAAACAGTATCTGAAAGAAATGTGCTTTAAAAAACACAGCAAAGACCTGACATAGGACCTGAGAGATCCCTCACCTCATCAGAAATGGGCTCAGTGGAAGGGTGACTGTCAAGAGGCCATTGTTAACAAATGGAAACAGGAAGAAAAGGCGAAGGTATGCCAAATTACACAAATCAACCTGGTACTAGCAGTAATATGAATATTACATGGCCATGCTCTATTCTTGGTGATGTCAAAGAGATACACTGAAACATATTGATAAGATTAAAAAACTCTATGGAGGACAGATGTTGTTTATATGCAAAAAAAAGGTATATAAATGAGATGTTGCTTACATGAAATTAAAATGAAAGGACGCTTTCATATCGAACTGTAGGCACATAAAGGCTAAAAGCAGATCATATTAGCACATTGCTAGGTGGTTGTCAGGCAGTGTGAATGTGCCAAACTATATCAAGCAAAATTCAACTTTCATGGATACAAATTAGGTGAAAGAAAGATAAGATGCTTTTATAAATTGTCATATGTGCATAATTGCCAAAAAAATGATCATTTTAGCCTGTTGGCAGATGGTTGCTAGGTAACATGATTCTTTCATAATATCTGATATAGATCACTCTTAAGTAGCCTCTGATGTACCTGTGTTTGAAGTTACATAAATTGAATTGAATTTACATAAATTTTTAATTTAAATTTTCATTTACATAACCAGAGTTTCTATATTTGACATACTTACACAGCATACTTTGATAACCTATGTTTCATGAAAGTAACATTGCACTTTATTGTGTTTAATACTTCAATAGCCTTTTTTTACTTTGGCGAAATTATCACAATTTTTTTCTTATTTCTATTTTTTCAAGATCTTATTCTTTTATGTAAATAGTAAATAGTAATTTTGCTTGGTCTTGTGATGTGTGTATATTTTACAACTCAAGCCCAACTGATGAAAATATGAGTGGGAAATACCAAACAGACAATACTAAACGATACTGAACGGTCAGGAGGTTTAACAGCTAAAAGGTCTCAGTTATGACAGATCACATCTGCTGTAGGTTGGCTACAACTGCCAATCACTGTGACAAGGTGTCATTTTGATTTCAGGTAAGTTGATTGCCTTGAATAAGCTTTCAGTTAAGTTTATCAAGGCAAATCATCCTTTGATAAAGATAACTTGCTTTGCTATATAATGAAACCTTGACTATTTGCAACACTGCTGCATACTTAGCTGCTGATTTCTGTTAAAGTGGTTCTGTTCCAGCTGCCAAAAATGAAATAAGAAATGCCTGTCAGATATTTTGCAGCCATGTGACTCAGGCCAGTGTAGGCATTCCTTGTCGCTGTTGGAGAGCCTTTGGTATGTGCAGCTTCGGCTACCACTCCCTTTTTTTGTCCTCCTGAATTCCTCTAACCAGTCTCTTCAGGAAAACTGTTTGTACAGCACACCGCCTAGCATCCAACACTTCCAATAGCCCAGCCAAGTACCACAGCGGATATCGAGCAGTGTTTATCAGCACCAGGCACAAACTCACTTTGAACTTTGAATGTAGCCATTATCAAAATGCAGCACTGGAAATATTATTGGCAGAGACCCTAGCTGGGGGTTGGGGAAGCCAGACGATTCGATTATTTGTGTCAAACTGCAACCGGTCTCCCCTGAGGCACATTCGCCTTGACATGAAATAGAACAGTAGGTACAGGCTAGAGCTACAGTTTGCCCGGGATAGTGGATTGTCCCAAACTAAAAGGTTGGATGTAGGTTCAGCAATGGACTCTTATGGAGTCTTTGAACAGGAGATTAAACTTATAATCCTTTGCTCTTTTACAGTTGTGGTCAGAAGTTTACATACACTCATTATGGGCATGGATGTCATAGTAATTTGGAGCTGTCTACTGTCTCACTCACTTACTGAGAGGACAGACGCACGCTCCACTTGACTGCCGCGTCTCTCACCCTCTCTGTTTTTCACATAATGATATTATCCTATATCCTCGCATGTGATTGGCCACAATATGGAGGGATTGGAGCATAGCTGAGCCACTGTGAGAGCTGAGCAGCGAAAGGAAATTAAGTGAGGAGCCGGCTCTCGCTCAATGGGAGGAGACTCTTCAGATTCACTACAAAGCACTCTCTAAGCACGGCTCTTAGAGCTGATGCTTTTGCGCAGGACACTTATTAAATGTTACATTGTGTGTCAGGATACTGTTGACTCCAAATCTCCTGACCACTATGTCGATCTGAGACAGCAAGACCAAGACAGCAAGACCAAGACAAGACCAAGACCACGTAAAAGTGTTCTCGAAGTCTCGAGACCAAGACGGGTTTTGAGACATCCAACTCTACATCCTAACCAATTTCCTCTCATCTGAGGACGACAGTTTGGGTCTTCTTCCATAACTGGCCTGAGTGGTGACACATCCAAATAATTTGTACTTACAAACAACTCTTTGATCTGGAAATCTGCAGTTGTTTAGAAATGTGGATTCCAGGACTCCAGATTCCATGTTCAAAATAGCTTCCTTGGGGCAGCTATGACTCAGGACGTAGAGCAGAGCATCTACTAATTGGGATATTGCTGGTTCTTGTGTAAATCTACAACTCTCTCTAGATTTTCACTGGGTTCCTTTAAAATTTCCCATTTTTCAAAATATCCTTTCTTTGTTAGCATAAAAACAAATCCTTTTTATGCTGGCAAAGAGAAACTACTGTTTGACTACTATCGTAGTCAATCATGATCACTGATGTGAAGTTAATAGGCCGTCGCCTTGTTAAGTTAAAAGACATTGTAGAGTCTTTAACACCACTGATAAAAAGATTTGCTTTGAATAAGAGCACCGGGGAGAGACACTCGTGATAACATGTCGAAATCTCAGAGGACAGTCCTTCAAAAATAAAATGCCTTTGGAGCAAAAGAATGAGTACACAAACACCCAATGGATATCAAGTTATCACTTGTTATGCAATAAGAACCCTGACAAGATGGAAACGTACAGTTTTTGGGTGTGTTCAACAGATGCAAGAAGTAGAGATGTTAGAGTCACGTTTTTTTGTACAGTGTGACCCGGCTAAGTCTGAACAGCTGTCTGTCTGTATGTTTATCAGCAGTTAACTATGGTCCCTGCTGCTGTTGCATTCGCTGTCAGGTTTTAAAGCTGAAGTCTCGTGGGTTTCCATCTGCACACACAGCACCGAACACTGATTGTGCAGTATGGCTGCTGACACAGACAACTGCTTAAAGGTTGCACAAGTTGACCGGCCAATATCCCAGAAGGATTCCTCTAAGTATGCATGGGTCTAGCGAGAAAAACAAATGTGCTGTGAAATAACAACTGCAAGGGCACCGAGGAGTGCCCACATGAAGACATATGGTTCTCTCAAAGGTTTTTGCATATGGCCGCACTTCCAATGTGTTCAGTGTCACGTTTTAGGTTGGTTAGGTTAGGTTAGAAATGTTGGAAATCTGGGATTAACCTTTTAATATATATATTTTTTAATATATGACCTCCTGACATCAAAATCCACTAGCAACTAAAATGCAAAGCTAATCTAGTGTGTCAGCGTTTTAGTTTATGTCTTTCTCATCTGATGCGAAGCAGGTGTACATTCTCACAGGAAAGTGCAAAGCCCGGTGGGATTTCTAAATATACGAGCGAACATAAAGCATTCCTGGGGTCAGTCGGGCGGCGTTTAGTTGCACATGAGGTGAGGTGAAGGGTGACGCGGCACACATTCCGCTTCTGAAATGAGGTGGAGTGACGCAACAGGGTCAAGTATGTCTGGCTCTTGAGAAAAAAAACCCTTCAGTCGATCACGCCTCAGAAACCACAAGTGGACAATAACTGACAAACAGTGATGAATATGCTAGTTTCTGTGAGTAGGTACAGAAGTGTTGTGGGCGTTAAGGTGAATGCCAGCACGAATCTCTGAACTTCTTCCAGCTTTTAAGGACAGGAACATGCGCTCTCCCTCTCTCACTAAATGCACCGAGCTTGAGCAAACAGAATGTAGAGACAGCTTCATGGAGGG